ACAACATGACTTAGAGGTTTTAACTAGAAATGAATAGGAGGAGAGAAAAAAAGGTTTGTCTTGAAAATCTATGCACATACTTCATTATATACACTGTGCTCCACTAAGTAGAATGTATAGAATGACAACAATTTGCAAAAAAGAAAAAAAGACTCAAATTGCTATATTCAAATTAAAATTCCTATTAAAAGACAGATAAAATTGCACCTTAAAGTCCTTTTTACGTGGGTTTCTGATCAGAATCACATGTCAGTTTCTATTCAAAGACAAATAAAATTCAACCTTAACCCCTTTACGCCAGCCGCACACAAATGTACGACCTCCCGGAGTCTGGGCCTAGATGTCGAGCGGCCGCACATTTGCGTTCAGGTAAGAAAAAACATATGTGCTGAGAGCGCACGCCCTGCACGCTCCCAGCACACGTCCGGTACTCACGGAAAGGTCCCGGTCTATCCTTTCGTTAGGGACCTTTCCCGATCATGTGATGACGCGTCACGGCGGTCACATGATCCCTAAACCCCGCCCAGCTTATGAAACTCTTAAAGGGCTGGGAGGGGCCTGCGGGAAGGGGTTAAGGTCCCTTTTACATGGGCTTTCCCATAACAGGGGAGGGAGCTCCAGCTGAATGACAGCCTCAGCTCTGTTCCTGTGTGCAGGTGGGTGTGTCCCTTCCCTCCAATCATCTCTCAGAGCTCTCCTCACTGAGCTCTGTAGAGTGTAATTTTGGCTCCATGACCCCGTTTTCTGAAAGCTCAGACATGCTTTATAAGTTCTGGACTTTGAACAGATGTAGAGAAGAGAAGTCTACAGATAAACAGGTACAACTTATGTAAGAACATTTGTTTTATCCCTGTATATCACCTGAGGCCAGTCACTTTATTGGCTATATGTGAGGGTTTTCATCCACTTTAAGATGTTTTATGGCATTTTGAATGTGCATGTGAACAGGGAAAAATTACATTAAAGCAAGTTTGATACTGGCATTCAGCTTTAAAATGGAATTCCAGTTAAAAATGAAAGTGTGCCCTTCCCGGGTATGTATAACAAATCAAACTTTTCTATTATTTTATAATTGTAATTGCGGATTGTCCGAACAGAAACAGCAGGTTAATCTCAAAAAAATCAACAGTCTTCACTGACAATAGCTGAATGTTGCGCCATCCCACCCACCCAATGACGCCGCATGCAAGCATGATGACATCATGGGCTGTCACGCACACCCAGGGCGCCGCCTCCACAAGGGACATGGGGCAGCAAACTGAAATTTGAAAGGAAAAACATAATTTGGAAAATATAGATAAATCCACCAATCCACCTGGCCTCAACAAGGTTTTTAATATTAAACCATTGCCTGGTTTTCGCTCTGGGGGTGTGAAAAGGATCTGTAATTCTATTCCATTGTTCGATGTATATTTATATTTTACATGTTTTCCGGATGTTTTTCCTTTCCTATTCAATCTTTATTATATGTGTACCATTTTTTTGTTATTGTTATGGATTATATATTCTGTAAGGTGGATGCCTCTGGGTGACGGTCTGGGGGTGTGCTGGTTGGGGAAGTTGTTAGTGTCGCCACCCATCACCCGGCGTGCCTAGGCCCCCTCAGTCTACTGCCCGGGGGGGCTTGGGTTGTCTGGCTGTGGGTGGTGCAGTTTGCCCTCCCCCCCACTGGGGGCCAGTGTTCTTTGCCCTACCTGGTGTGGGTGAATGGGCGATTTGCCATCCCATTTTCCTTGTGGAGGCTGGTCTGGTGCACATGCATGTGATATCATCGTGTGGGTGGGGAAGCGCCGCACGCTCACTGGGCCAGGGGACGTCATTTGCAGCAATTCTGTTGCGTGTGTGTTCCAGGAAAGGGGGAGTGTTCAATTCCAAACTGGCTGACAGTTACCTGGCGCCAACTAAAGACAACCAATCATGGGCCTAGGAGCATTAGTCCATGACTATATATACTAGCAGTTTTGCAGCTTCACTTCCTTTTGGATGATCATTAGGCGACTTCATGTGATAGCACAAGAATATCATTGATGAGCACTCTACAATTTTCTATGCTTTTTCTTTAGCAGGGTGGTCTATTCCTACTACAGAGGCTCACACGTGTCTTCTGCTAGTTTTGCTTGGGCTGAATATATCAGACTATTTATTATTACACTATATATTTGAATTGAGCTCCCATATCAATAATCTGAGTTCTTTCGGGCTATATACTAGATTATTTTCCTGTGATAAACAACAAATAGCAGTTTTCCTTTACTAGTTATGGTCTTTAATATACTCTATAGACCCGACCCCCCCATATTGGCTGCATTAGTGTGGTCTTCGCTGATGGAAGGTTCACTGGGGCTGCTGCTTGCCCTCTCCTGGGTGTGTCACTCGAAAAGCATCCTCATCCAATTGTGTACAAACATTTATCAACTAATATTCGATGTGGTACAATCTGTAAGTATATGAGTAACCAGCCTCCTCGCACATGTTTTTTTAGATGGTATTGTGTATTATGTCCTTTACATTTACTTGATATTTTGCTATGTTTTAGAGCCGACATATTAATTCTCTGAAGGAAACAGGAGTTCCCAAACACGTTGTATTTGTCTGGACGATATATTGTTCAAGCTACTTTGTGTAACATCAATTGACAAAAGGGCTGACAACCCAAGCGGTCAGGTCTCATGCACATTGTATATTTTGCTAAATGTGAATTATGAATCATTTTACCACAGTTCAACTCTATTGAATCTTTTGATTTATTTTTATCGAAACGTATTTTGTAATAAAAACATTTATGGTTTTATATTTTCATATACTTTAGGTGTTTTACCATACAAAGTCCCAGGGGGATATCGCTCAATTTTTTTTCTTGGGTTTTTATACATGGGATGTGGCAAAAACATCATTAATGGTGGGACATTTTACCAAAATGTTCCCATTTTTGCATCAACAAGGTGGATAATATATACCACCATAGAATTACATTGTAACATACAATTATAGAGTATTGAACATTAAAAACACATAATTAGGCATCAACAATATCATGTCCCACTAGTGTAACTGACGCATTTCGCAGTTCACATCTGCTTCATCAGGGACATCATGAGACCATCTAGAAAGTTAAAATAAAATACTTGACAGTACAACAAAATGAAACAATATAACAATGTTTTCACACAGTATACACCAATACTCATAGCTTACCATATTATCAACCACAACCATGCAACCAACAGCTGTTGGTTCATGGGGAGATGACACACTGGATGCCTATAAACCCTGCACACCCTACTCATCCTCCAGGTTTAAATACTGTACTTACATTTAAGCCCTTTTTGTAAACAGCATATGAGTTTGTATTACTTAATGGTTTACAATATTTTGTTAAATGTATTTGGTCTGTTGTATTAGCGGAACTCTTTAGGTTTGGATTTGAAGAGGTGATGCACTATTGTGGTGCCTTGCTTTTTGGCCAGACACTCGGGCACCCAGCTGTCAAGGGAGGAGGGATTCTTCTCTCTATCCTCGCGTAGGTACTCAATTCCTTTGGGCTCGGCCCTTGGAGAGCCAACCCACTCCTCTTGGGTACCGTCATGGCGTTCTGATGTGGGTGGGCGCATGTGCTACAGCTGAGCACCCGTGGCAAAACGTGACCTCACATGCAGGCTCGGCGCTAGTTGACAACAGATGTCGGGGCAGAGCGCCTCATACACTGGGGCCTTATAGGGGAGAGAAAGCGGTGATGGTGAGCGCTATTGTTGGAATACCATCCTGTTAGACCGTTTGTTGGCAGGCTCTCTCTTCCTACTAACCACTTTATTTGGGAAATCGGCTGCATCCATATTTTGGGTAAGCCTGGTTTGTGGTTGCTCTGTGCATTATGCTTAATCTCTAGGATGTGTTGGGGGCCTTTATTATAGGGATGACTATTTAATAACGGCTTTTTTCCCCATTTCTCCCTTTTTTTTTTTGTCCCTTACATGGATATAACTGGACTTCTTTTATGGCGGATTACTGGGGGCTATATAGGATTTAGGTGTGAGGTGTATAGTGGTTTGTCTGTCATTTTGTAAGTTACAAAATATAAATATAAAAATAAGGGGGTCATATTAACATCAGGATAGGCTTGTATCCGCTCTTAAAAGGTATAGACATATTCAATATATGCCCCTTCTATATTTTAAATCTATCAGTACAGGTATAAAGCCTCTCTTTCTCTCTGCTTCACCATTGAGGTTTCTAGATTTCATGGTGTCATACGTATTACGGTTATTTTTGTATTATATTGTAGTTGGAAACCTGCGTTTGGCGGTGGCCCTCGCTCTCTTTCTCCCCTCTGTTTGGCACAGTGTCTGGCATTCCCTCCCCTACACACATGGGGATAGGGTTTATAGGCATCCAGTGTGTCATCTCCTCATGAACCAACAGTTATTGCATAGATGTGATTGATATTGTGGTAAGCTATGTGTATTGGTGTATACTGTGTGAAAAAATTGTTATTGCTTTTTTTTGTACCATCAAGTATTCTATTCTAACTTTCTAGATGGTTCAGCAATGTCCCTGATAAAGCAGATGTGAACTGTGAAATGCGTAAGTATCACCAATATCATATCTCTGCTAGTGTAATCTAACTTTATAACTGTATGTTGCAATATAAACATATGATGGTATATACTGTCCACCTTTTTAATGGACTTTAATAAATTATGTGTATTTTAACAAATGTGTGACTCTGTAAGCACAGTTCCTTTAAAGTCCCTTAATTTTTGAAGGTTTGTTCCTTTGTTGTGCATTGTTTTGTAATTTGGGATGTGGCACTGTGCGCCTATTCCCTGAGATGTGGGTTATCTAATTTTTTGGCCATAGATGGTAATGTGTGACTTGCCAAGAAAAACGCAGTCCTTGTGAAAGTCCAGAAGTCTCCTAAAGTGCAATAAATACTATTGGTGCCCTGCCAAGTTACAGTAAGGTATTCCAGCTGAATGTACAAAACCAGAAATAGGACTTACCTTTTGTAGAAACGATGGAACAACATTATTGCATGTTGCAATCCTCCGCCTGTACACAATTCCTGTTTCTGGGTCTGTTTATTGAAAGGATGAAAAAAAAAACAAAAAAAACAAAACAGCAGGAGATTGCACAATTTTTCTCTAAAGCATCGTATTTCTAGAAACAGTGTTATAGTTAAGGTGTCTTTTTTTTTTTTTTTTTTTTTGCATTGGGAACAACTGACTATCAACATTGTGAAAAACAGAAAATAAAAGATCTTAAAAAAAAGAAAGTATCTTTGGGAGGAGGTTGACAGCCTTTATTAAAAATAAATCAAAATGCATAATGGCAGCTCCATAACATTAACCCCAGTATTCGTTCCAATTCTGTTTATAGAGAAAAACAGTCAGGTTCTCACTGACTTGGATAGTAAGCTACATATTCAGGCGATACCTAGTTGATCCTCATGCCCCTTCACACTACTCCATGAGCAGTGATGTAGATCATCTGCACAGTCGTGTAGTAACATGAAGCCAAGTCTCCCAAACCTGAAGGATAAGTTCACCTTTGCAACATGTTACAGCTTCTACTCCCTCTCCCCCTGATACCTCCCCACCTGTGACAGCAGATGGGGGTTCTTCTCTCCCACCACATGTCCCTTTTTAAACATAGTGCTGCTGTGCGGGGCTCCACCTACACAGCCACATCATTCACTTACAGATTCTTGTGAATGAATAAACTACAAGTACCGTATGCCACTACAGCCAATGGACTTTAAGTTTAATTGGGCTGCGGGGCACTGTTGAGTCCATGGACATGCCTTCCAGCTTTCAAAGAGAAATGGGCTGAAAGCCGGAGGACATGTCTGCAGGAGCCCAGATTGCACCCGTGATCTACAGATTCTGGGTGCAATGTTTTTCAGGCCCCTGCAGGAAAAAATACATTTTTTTCTGTAAAGGTGAACTTAATCGTTAACATAATTTGCATATGTGCAATTGGTATCTTACAACCTTCCTTCTAGACACTGAGGACACATTAAAGCTAACCACATATAGTCTAGTTGTATAATCTTTGCACACAGTGTTAAATCTGGTAGGCAATGAAGTACATAATTTGGTAAAGTTGGCCATACATTATACGAATTTTGAGCAGTTCCTGATGAACTGGCTGAAATTAAAGCGATTTAAAAAGGTTCATTTTTTTTTTTTTTTTTTTTCTTTAAATAACAAACATTCTCATTCTATACTTACCTACTGTGTTCAGTGGTTTTGCACAGACCTCTTCTTGTGTCCCCCGCAGGCTCTCCTGGCTCCTCTGTCCTGTCTGGTGACCCCACAGCAAGCAACTTGCAATGCTCCGTGTGTCCATTCACAGCTTGGCCCCACCCCCTCTTCTCTCTTCATTGGCTAACTGGCTGTGATTGAGAGCAGCGGGAGCCAATGGCTCCCACTTGCTGTCTCAGCCAATGAGGAGGAAGAGACCCAAAACAGCCAAGGCTGTCACTCACATCGCTAGATCACAGTGAGACTCAGGTAAGTACTAAGGGGGCTGGGGGCACTGCTACACACAGAAAGTTTTTTACCTGCATGGATAGAATGCATGAAGGTAAAAATCCTTGAGCCTTTACAACCACTAACTCCATGGCCCTGTCAACACCTGACTGATTCTCACTAAAAAATAAATAAATATTGTAATAAGTGCCATTTTATATTCAAATCTCAGATGTGTGAAACCTCAGCTTGCGTCACTAAAAATATATTTTTGGAGGTACAATATTTGCAAGAATTCGTATATATTGAACTAGAAACCACATTTTTTGAAGTCCCATAACAATGATAAAAATCTGACACCTTGGCTTGCAAATCAAATTCATACACAAGCTTTGGCACAATTGCTTATAATGATTACACAGCAGAAAAACGTTTTACTGATATGATGGTATCTAATTAAAGCAGCAAATTATCTAATTAAAGCCAATTGGCTGCATTTTGATACTAGCTACACTGGATGCATGCACATAAAATTGTGTGTAAACTATAAATATATATATATAAAAAATATTATACATGTATATATATTATACTATACATTTCAGCACACATAAAAGCTTAATTTTACAGAGGTACAAAGTTAACTAACATCTTCTGTTTTACCTCTAATGAAGTCTAGCGTTACCTTCTCTGTTTCCATGTAATGTGGCCAACTCTCCTAATCCCATTATCGGAGCTTAATAATATAATAAGTTATGTACTTTTTCTCCTGAACCTACAGTTGTAATAAAAATCTGAGAATTTTTAGGCTTCTATAGACAGCATCTTTACTTGCCTTTTATTTTTTAACAAAACATGGTTTAGAAGCTTGCTTACCCGATTGTTCTTCCACCGTTTTGACAGCTGTAACATGTTTCTCTAAAGGTGTTGGATACTAGAGAAAAACATATAGTAAGCAATAAGAGACTGAAAGAACATTTTGATTTGGTTCACATAAGAAAAATGGAAGCAAATCTGCATGGCTGATAAGCATACACAAGGGATAGGCATGTTGACAATCATCAGGGATTATCGATTATTAAAAAAAGGTATAAAACTATTCTTCTTATAATTATTAAAATGTTTTGTGTACTCACATGAGTTTACCAAATTTATCATTTAAGATCAAATAAAGCCAACAAAAAAGTACGAAATTAGCTACTTTTATTATCTAGGAAAAATTGTGGCTGTACTTAAAAAAGGACACAAAGATGCTGACCTTCAGAGATAGTGGGACCTCTGAAAATGTTAGTTGCCTGCCTATCTCTGCCTTTAATACTTTCTCAGCCACTGACCCATACCAAGCCTGCAGATTAGAAAGTGATTAAATTCAGAACTCCATATGTGTTCTGAGTCAGTGACTCAGAACTCAGTAAAGATATTGGATCAGGATAACAGCCAAAAAAACAAGGATCATCAATCAGGAGGGTCAACAGTAGTAGCCTCCATACTTTCTCAGTATGTTTCCTTTGAGATAGGCAGTTCAGTAGCCATATTTGAATTGAATGTTATTCAGAATTACCTTTCCTTGTCAATCTGCAGCTGATGTAATTTTCTGTAAAATTCAATTAAATATGGCAACCTGGTGGCGTTCTTGCACACTGATGTAGGGACATGACCAGACTATTTTGTGCCCTGGGCAAGACCAGCTACTTGCAATCCGCACCCCCCAAAACAACAAATAAAACTTAAAAAAATATTTAAACATTACCTCTTCCTCACGGATTGGCTGAAGTTTGCAAGAGACTCTTTAGTCTCCAGATAACATCATCCATTCCTGCAGCGCAGAATTATCAATGCTAAATTACTCCACTGTAAAAGTGGCAATTAATGATTGTATGTCACCCATCAATCATGCAGATGACATATGTATGTCTCCTGTATAATATGCATGGCACATGGGCAACGCAAGTCCCCTCCTCCACCTAGAATAAAGTTGGTGCCATCACCTCCTCCACCATCAGCAAATCATGTACCTTCTGTATAGTTTGCTGGGTGATTTCTCCTTTTCCTCTGGGTCTGGCTAAAGCAAAGGCCACAGACATATTTGCCCCCTCTGGCCCTGTGTGTGTTTGAGCAGAATAAATTATTCCAGATATTCCTAATATATTCACCCTAAGTATTCTTGTTTTATGCAGCAGACAGGGGAGACTATGCCAAACGGTATGACCTGTTTCCCATTTATACAGAACTAAACAATTTAATAAAATATACAGGTCCAAAGGAAAGGTTATAAAATCAGCGGTGTCGTGGAATGGGGCTTTTAGCCCCCCTGTGTTACTTTAAATCACTTCAACAGAGATGCAGACCTTTCAGCTTTCCTCAGAGTACTAGATTAGCTGATCAATAATGAAAAGGTCACTTTCATTCAGAATCAGCATCCAAAAAGACATAGAAGAACAAACAGGTAGGAATCAACAAAAGTCGTTAAGCTTTGGAGATATGCAAGTATTAGGACTCTCCTCATGCTCCAAATCCATGACAAAAAAACAAAAGCAAAGCACACAGTCTCTTCTTTCATATCTGAATGGAAAACATCAACTGCTGTTAGAGGAAACAGAAACAGACACTGAAGAAGAGTTAAGAGTAGAGGGCTTATCCATTATTTCTGACATGGTAGTAGAAAATTCCTCCCTTGACAACCAAGAAGAGTCAGCCACTCCAGACGGGGATAAAGGGGACCCTGAGGAAGGCAGCAAATCAGGTTAGAAACAACAGTCATGACTGACATCCTCAGTATCCTCAAAGGAAATGCTGCAGACTGCCCCGTGTTGTTAGCTGCACATGAGCCGGCAGGATGCCCAGGGCAGCCCCCTTTGAGTCTATGGTATGCCATGGTATAGGTATGAAACTTAGGGGTACTTGTTAACACCACCTGTGATCCTCACTTAAGATAGCAGGAAGCCCACTCCTGTCGCCCACTTATAACAGAAAATGCTGTAGCCGGCCCTTTACTGACAAGCCTATTAGGGTACTGGAGCAGCATGCCTGGTCTCATTTCAAAGGGGAAAAGTCTTCAGACCTCATTAACAAGGGTGTATCTATGTGTACACCATGCAAGGGGCCATCTTTGCGCACACAGGATTGCACAGGTGTTCCATGCATTCACATGCAGGCAGTCCCATTCATCTATTGGGCGCAGCAGCTGCACGGACAGCCGCTGGACCTAATTTGATAGCCGCGCAAGTGCATGTCCTTAAAATGCAGACAGTGAGAAAAATCCTAAACAAAAAGCTTTTCTGATCACTGTAGAAGGAGTATGTCAGTCTAAATATAGCATATATAAGATGGGGGAAAGCCACTGCTGTGAATCAAAAACAAACATTCAATATGTTTAAAATATTTGTTCACCTTTGTTGTAAACATACCAGTGCCTCCAAGGAGCCCCAGCACATTAAAAAAAAAAAAAAAATCACCATGCAAAATTACATATCTTTAGGCCACCTGGGGTTGAGGCAAATTCCCAATCTGATTGCTGCCCCTGATATAATGCAGGACAGATAGAATGTGGAGGAGCTCAAAGAAATGTAGTAAGCAAGTCACCTGTCTCTCACTCCCCATGGCACAGCAGCACTAATATCACAGGAAAAGGGGCATTTATTGCCTGCTGCGCCCTTTGTAGTTTTATCCCAGGCAATGAACTACAGTACCTGACCACGTGTCTACAGCTGGAAAAATAGCTGCAGGCGTGCATCTTTTGAAATCAGGGCTCAATTGCAGACTATCAGAGCAGGACGACAAGTAATACTTTCAAGAATATGACTTTGCACATGTTGATTTGCATTCATAGCAGGTTTAAAATTACTGCTGAGGTTTTGTCTAAACCAGCAATGGGCAAAAACGGCCCGCGGGCCGTCAATACGGCCCGGCGGATCCTTTAATCCGGCCCGCGGAAAAGGTCGGCAAGCCGCGGCTCTTTACAAATTTAGATGCGGCTCTCCTTGGCGCCCGCTCCCCTCCCTCCTCTCCTCCTCTCCCCTCCCTCCTCTCCTCCTCTCCCCTCCTCTCTTCTCGGGATGGCCGCCCCCCCTCTCGGATGGCCGCCCCCCTCCCTCCTGCTCGGACGTCAGGACTCTGCAGCTGTCAGGATGTAGGCGGGGCAGCCAGGATGTAGGCGGGGCAGCGTGACGAACTCCTCTACAGGCGGGAATACGAGAGGAACGCGCGGACCAAAGGTAAGTGAATTGACACAGGGGGGGGACTTTATATGGGGGATGAATTACTATATGGACTTACTATATGGGGGACTTACTATTGCTGGGGAATGAATTACTTTGGGGAATGAACTATATGGGGGGACTTACTATATGGGGAATTAATTACTATATGGGGGACTTACTATATGGGGAATTAATTACTATAGCTGCTATGGAGGACTTACTATATGGGGAATTAATTACTAATGGGGGACTTACTATATGGGGGGATGAATTACTATATGGGGGATGCATGAATTACTATATGGGGGACGAATCCTTAGATGAATTAACACAGACATATGGGGATGAATTAATATACTGAATTCAATGAATATGTGTAAATTACTATGGGGGGATAAATTAATATGATGAATTACTATGTGGGGGATGAATTACATATGGGGGATGAATTACTATGGGGGATGAATTACTATAGGGGGGATGAATTACTATGGGGGATGAATTACTATAGGGGGGATGAATTACTATGGGGGACGAATTACTATATGGGGGACGAATTACTATATGGGGGACGAATTACTATATGGGGGATGAATTACTATGGGGGATGAATTACTATATGGGGGATGAATTACTATGGGGGATGAATTACATTACTAATGGGGGATGAATTACTATATGATTAATTACTATATGGGGGGATTAATTACTAGGGGGATTAATTACTATGCTTACTATGGGGGAATATTACTATACTTAATGGTGACACATACACATCATTCATCTACTCTTGGTTCCAATTATGAACCCATTGCGGCCCTCAAAGTCTGCCCACCCCTGGTCTAAACCACAAAGATGAACCGATCCTTTAAAAGGTTCTTTTTGCAAGTGCTGGGAAGTATAGGTCTTTCCATATTGCACTGATTTGCTGCGAAATGGTTTGCAGTCATAACTACAAAGCAGTGGCATGTTCCTTAGGAATTACACAGACAGGTGATAACTATCAATGACATAATGTGTAAACTGACCTAAACTAACTGAAACAACTGTGTAGATTGAAGAAAACAGAGTTTGGGCCAGGCATACTAAAAAGGTGAGACTGCGGTACATATGAGGTTTTAACCTTCAAATCTCACACTATAGCAAAATTGAGCATAGCCACAAGACTGTCATTCTGCTACAGCAAGGTTGCTTTTCAACACAATTTATGTGGTAGGCATTCTGAGACTCTTTTGCAGACGCATAAATGGTGAGGTTGAGCACTGCCAACACAAGTGCCACAAATAAGAAAAACATCAAGCTTTCTCCCTTTCAAAATTTAAACGCACCCGGCACTGCTGTCAGTTCAAAACTTGAAGAAACCACTGGGACCAGGGTTCATCCATTGATTGACCTGAAGAAGTCTCATCAGAAGTGACAGTCATGAGATTCACAATCTAGAAGCCATTCCTCTGAAGTGGAAAGCCAAATGACTTACCTAGGCATGAAAAGCACAAGAACTGGGGAGCAGAAAAAGAACTGAAAAAAAACTTTATGTACGTTACAGTGCCATTTATTGTGAACAGCATCCTATTGCATCCCAACACACCTGCGCCACAAGGCATCACGCCACAATGCATTATTTGTGCTGTGGCATACTGCAAAAAAAAAAAAAAAAAATATGATCAAGCCCCATTTTTGAAGTGCATTCATTCATTTTTATTGCCCTGACTAATGTAGAGCACTGCAACGAGCT